AAGACTTTGATTGAACTAATAATTCATTTTCATCAATAATTTTAAAAAAAAAATGTCACTATTTTTTTTTTCAGTCATACGTAATTTAATGCATTTATATTAAAATTTTAAATGTATCATGCTTAATTTAATATACTAGTAGAAGCATGCCTTAATTCCTTCAGTTTTACATTAAGATCAAATTTATTTTTCATTTTTTATCAATTTATATCTTTGAGTTCAACAATAGAATTTAAGTTTTTATCTCTTTTAGAATTATTAATTTAATTAATAAAATTCCATAATTTAATTAAATTAGTTTCGTAAAATAATTTTAATCATTTCATTATCCCAATAAAGCAAATTTATTATATAAGAATAAACAAAAGTACAAAAAAATTTAATTTTTTTAAAACATCTATCAAATGCATTTTGAAAGAGTGGAAACATTAATAACGTGATGTTGGATTTGGAAAATGCATGGTAGATTGGTAGTGTATTGTCCTTTATCAATTGGTTAGAAGTAACATCAAACAACTAGGTAAAAATTATTATTAATTGCACTTTTTAACATCTTTCTTGCTTGTGAAAAGTATCATATCAATAAACAATTCCACCCTAATAATTCAAAAGGTAATAATTTTTCACTCTTACAAAAATAAAAATAATAACTAGCTAATGCAATAAAAAATATATATGAAAATCAAGCTATTTAATTACAAGCATAAATAGTTAGACTTGATTGTATGAATTTAAATAGAGGAAAGAGAGTATTGGTGGATCCTACCAAAGCTTCTCTCTCTTCTCCTTAACACTCTTACACTTGAACCTTCACCCATCTCCCATATGTTTTCAGGTTAGACTTCACATCGATGATTGATCAAATCTAATAGTGTCATTATTTGCAAAGAGTTCATATGAGGAAAACATGAAAATTGGATGAAAAGTTTCTTTAAATATTTCAAATACCATCTCAGCATGATTGTAGAGCTTTTGTATATCTCAAAAGATCTTAACTTTTATTAAAAGAACGGTTACACCAAAGTTGACATTTATTCTATAACTCGGTGAAAACTTTGATGCACATTCAACATAATTTTTCAAATAATTATCCTCTTTTAAAAAACCAAAAAAATCAAGGACTTTAATATGATAAATTGGACTCTCACTTTTGGTACCAAGCATCAAAGATAATTTGGACATAATAATTCTTTTGAACACCTATTGGTAAGATGTAGATTCGTTTTGGATTTTGACATGACCTCACTATGTTTTTTTTGGCACAATTTTTCCATGAGTATTCAACGGAGAGAGAGAGAGAATGAAAGAAACCTCTATCTATGTAGCATGGTTTGCCTTATATTTATGTAAAATATAAATCCAAAATCTATTCATAGATAAAAATTCTAGCAAATCATGTCACTTAAGAGTTTAAAACAATATCACTTATTTCTCAAAATTCAGACAACACACGGACCCATACTAACTTAAAACAAATTATTTTTTTTTGGTATTAGATAACTTGAGATATTCTGAGTTTATTATCCGCTCTAGACTAATTTGGACTCCCACATTAGAGACCTTATGGTAGTTATGAGTATCGATGGGATGACCTTTTTGAAACTATTTTAATTATTGCATCTATCACTCATTAGAATTCAAACTTTCGTCCTAATGAATGTTAGCCCTTTCTAACTTGGCAACACCCATTGGTAAAACAAATCATTTTCTCAAGTCATACACATTACAATACACCAACAAAAAAAAAAAAAACAGGAAGAAGAAGAAGAAGATCATAATGGGAGGTGAGTTGGCTCACACATGCAATTTTCGATAGAGTCCAAACATGTGGGCCTTTAGGCCCAATCGCATCTATGATTCTCCTCACTAGTTTTTTGTTTAAAATACCTCTTGTCCTTTTCAAAAGTTTCTTTCTTTCTTTCTTTCTTTCTTTCTTGGGTTCGCTTGGAATATATGCAGGCTGCGACCACCATAATGAATATGACACCTACAAGTTTGTTGTAATAAAAATAATTTTTAGTTTAAAAATTAGGAAAAACACAATTTTTTATTTTTATAGTTTTATCACATTTTATTTTTAGTTTTTATAATTTTTTTAGTATTTTTAGTTCCTATATTTTCATAAAGATTGGATGATTTTTTTTTTAAAATCCTTATAATTTTTATTTTTTTCAGTGATTTTAGTCTTTATAAGAACTGCAAACATTGAAAAAATTACAAAAACTAAAAACAAAACTTAATAAAATTATAAAGATCAAAGATTATGTTTTTTCCTAAAAATTAACACACAAAAAATAACACAAAAATAATCAATGTCTTTTTTTTTAACATTACTATTTTGGCTGTGTCAAATAATCAGATTCAAGCATTGTACAATACAATTCGTCAAAAGAGTTGAATTAGTTTATTTTAGAATCTTGAGCTTTAGTCTTATAATATGTAATCACGTTAAATAAATATGTGGAAAGTATTGATATATCTATGAGGCTGTTGCGAGTAATAATGACCCCACACAGTGAAGTTCAAATTAGTTTGGGTAAGAGGTATTAATACTTTCAAGTTTTCCCAGATACCAAATGATGGAATAAATAAATAGATTCAAACATTATGAGGCTCAATTAGGAGTAACTCTCTCAAAAGTATTTTCTACATTCACATAAATTTAAACTCATGTTATATTTAGGTAGCCACAGCTCCTTCCACTTGAATTTAACGCTTGTTAGTGCAACATTTTTACATGCAAGGACAGTAAAAAATGTAACTTGAGCTAAATAATATGATAAAAGTGTGATAATAAATTTATATAAAAAAGTGATAAAGAAATGAATACACTTCTTTAATTTTATTTATAAGTCACTTCTAACATATTTTATTGAAATTAAGGAAAACATTAAAATTTATTAATTCTGTCTAAAAATTAGTAAGTTCTCAATTCTACTCTTATTATATATACATACTTCAACAGCCTATTTTTTTTCTTTAACATTCAATGAAAGATTAGAAAAAAAAAAATATTGATATAATTTATAAATAAAATAAAAAATTGTCTCCCCCTCTATATATACATACATTGTGGAGGGCGAGTACAATACAAGGATCAACTGTATTATGCAGTGCTCAAGTGGTGTCATTAAATGAGGAGTTGAAGGGCCCACAAGATGGAAGCGGTTAGAAGAAGAGTATCAACTTGCAAGCTTCAACATTATATTCTCAAATTTGAGATTTTTTTTTTTGTTTTTGAACTTGTGAAGTATTTGCCAACTTCAAATAAAATCCTCACATTAGCATTATAATTTGTAATCACAAGTTTTAAGAGATATAACTAAGCCCTTACCAACAAGACTAGGGCCATACTTGATTCACTTCCCAACTGAGGTTTGAGTTGCCAAATCTCAATTAGGGTGTTAAAAGTTTATTACAAGATTTAAAATTTTATTTGGGTTAAAAATATATATATAGTTGAAAAGAGCTTTCGGGAGAAAAGCTCATCCAAGCTGAAGCCGTTTTTATGAGCTTTTTAAAAAGAATTTTCTGGTAAAATTAGGTTGGGCATTCAGTGTATTTTAATTTTTGTCACATACTCTCTTATCCTCTCATGATTTTTATGATTTAATATTTTTTATTTTATTACTTTAATTCAAGATTTGTATAATTTACAAACAATACTATATAGACATTTTTTTAAAAAAATTGTAATTTAAAGTTCAATAATTTTTCTCAAAGACTAATAACAAATCTCATTTGAAAAAAAAGACACATTTTTATTTTAATAACAATTTATTTTGTATTAATGTCTGTGAATAATTTTGTAGTAGTCATTGGATGTAATTCTTCCAAACAAAAATTCTACATGCTAAGTAGCTTCTATAAACATGGGAGGCTCCTCGAGCATGATTTGAATTCTCTAGAAGCAAAACTTCTTCCCCTTTTTCTTTCTCCTTGGGGGATTTTTTTTTTTTGGCTCTATCCAATTAAAGGTTTGTAAAACCAAATATGAAATTGAGTGAAATTAAATTTAATCTATTTATTTTTAATTTGATTTGATCTATTCAATTATATGATTTGATTTCGTTTTCTTCTAATGAAAATTATCATCAATCAATATAGTCAACCGAAGCAATCAAATTATATATATATATATATATATATATATATTCTGCTATATTTTTAAAAAAGTGAAACAGGATAAGAATGGAAACCCCAACTTACCACACTTCTCCATTTTTCCTCTCTTCCCTCTTCATCAAATCAACCTCTCATGTGGGTAAGAAATATCTCTCCATTTTCTCCATGTCTGCTTTTACATTTCCGATTTCTACTCCACTTGCTTAATGTGTTGTGTTGCTTTTTATTTCTATAATTTAATTTTAATGCAGTAGTATTGGAGTCCTTGGTTTTATTATTTTTCTCATTAATTACAAAATACAATGACTATTTTTGTTGGGCCTGCAACAATAGGAAAGAAAAAAATTGGAAAAAAAAAAAAAGATACATGCACAACTAAACTACATAAACCCAAATCAAAGTCCATTAACCAAATAAACCGATAGTTGTTCCTCGCTCCAAATCAAAGTCCATCGGTGTTGGAGAAATTAGGACCAAACGGATACTCATCCCTAGCTCCAATTTATGTATCTATTCAAGTAGTACTGTTCAGCACAAGAGTGAAAATAGAGTACCAACTACTGTGGCATGCCAAATTGATAAATATTAAAACTTGCTGAGTCAATGAAACAATTTCTCCAGTGACTCATATGGTGGTCCATACGGATCTAAGAGAAAATCAGTAATAACTGGAACACCTCATTGCAATATTAGAATATTAGAATGTGAAAAAAATGGTGAATTTTAAGGTCAGCTTCACTTCACCCATCTCTAATTACAAAGAGCAAAAATTCTTTTCATGGGAGTGGTCTCTTATTTCCTTGTAAATAACGGAAATTAAGCTTTGGTTTTGAACTTCAAGGTGTTGCACATCACAACTTCCTTGAGATAGGAGCTATTGAAAGATTATTTTCACCAAATTCCACTTTCAACAAGGTAATACAAGATTCAAATGTTCATTAGCGACTTCTCAATACACAAAACAAAAATCAATGGCAAATGGCAGAGGTGAGAATAACCTATTCCGCAGGAAAGCCTGACAGAACTCAACCTGAAAGGGCAGCGTTGAGCGCACTATGGACATCAATCCCAATCTGAGCTTCAGCTTTCTCCAGATCAGTTGTGGCAGAGCTCAGCTTCTGAGTGAATTCTTGGAGACCCTTTTGGACTAGGCTGGCATCAATTTGATCGACTGGCACGGCCTCAACAGCTATTATATCAGCAACAGAGTTCGCATGGACGAAAGCAAAGCCACTACTCACAAAGTACTTGGTCACATCATTCCCATCATGCACAGATAGAATGCCAGGCTTCAACTCTGCAATTGTAGCTACATGTCCAGGAAGAACACCCATTTGCCCAGTTGTTGCTGGTACTATGACCATGTCAACCTATTAACGTGAAAGTTAGGCATAAGTTATATGATGTTTGAAAGGAAGGATCAGATTGACAATCTACACAACTTCAGTGTAATTCAATTCCATTGGAGAAACTGTCTACATACATTAATCAACATTCTCTCATGGTAGCACAATAATTTATTCGAACTATGAAGTTGATGAGTTTATATGCCTTCACCTGAGTGAAAAAAGACCAGTCTAATACTAGAAGAATTGAATCATGCATTAAAACTAAAAACCAATCCTCTATTCCATGTCTTTACTTTACAATGAGTGTGTCTGCAATAGCAACTATTCTTCGCAAGCAATTCAGTTTCTGGGGTTTGCATCGAACAGTTGACACATTAATTAAAATAGAAAAATAGTACACGCAAAGTCCCCAACAATATAGCACTACGAGTCTTCAAAACCTTCATGAGGAGCCAAAGGGTGCTTTAATATCTCTTTAAGTGGCACTTAGGTAATTCTCTCATTATTATTATTATTTTTTTTTTTTTACTTTTGTGCATATCAAACCTCATCCTGTCCCTGAACTAGGATTTCTATAATTTCATTTTAGAGTCTTTAATTTTTTACATGTTTCTCAGCAATTTAGGACGTTTAATTCCTTCCAACTAAAGCAAAAGGATCCTCTCAATTCTGGCCCCATCAATTACAAGAGAGAAACAATAAGACAGAGTGTACAAGGCCACTCTCTCTTCCTCTCTCATAATTGAGAGGAAATCAACAGATTGAATAAGAGGATCTTCTCTTACTTGTGCAATGCTCTTACAAATCATCTCCTTACTGTGGTAAAATTAAAATATGAAAGGTATAAAGCTAGGACTTAGTTTCTCATAAATCAATGTCATGGCCTGAGGATTATAAATATTCATTATTTCCTAGAATCATGCAGGATTCAAAAATAAAACAATTTTTTGATAGCTAAAAGTAGATTTCTACAAAAGGCAATGCAATAGGATACTCACTTGATCTAAACTAGAGGAGGGTAGATGTATCACATTACATCATAAAACCAACAACTAAGTCATAGCATGAACCAGGATATTACATAGTTAATTCAGTGTTAAAAGAACAACACAATCAATGATGAATAAAGAAGTTAAACATAATCCACTTAAGGTCTGTTTGGCTGGAGTATTTTGGAGGGGAGGGGAGCTCTTGTTTGATTTAAAAATTGGATCCCCTTACCCCCACCTCCAAATTTAAAGGGGAGAGGAGAGAGAAAATTATACTTGACTAAGTCGCCCCCATATTATTTTGGAAGTTCTAAACTATTTAAAATATTAAAAAATTATATCTTTTTTCTTCTCTCTCATAATAAAATAAGTTTTATTACCAATAAAATTAAATAAATAATATTTATGCATAAAAATTCAATATTTTTTATTGGAATCAAAAGAAAAAACAACTTCCCCTAAAAATAAAAAATAAAGAAAATCCATGGAAGTATGGAACTATCTTGCTCGAAACTTGCTAAAGAATCAAATTGGAAACACAGAAGAGGAAATAATATCCAACATGCAAAACCTTTAGCCGATGAATTATAATATTAATATATTGGTTCAACATTTTTTCAACAAAATTTTAATATATTTTCATTAAATATACATTGATAAATTACAATATTAATATATTGATTCTTCAAAAGAAAACATATTGATACAAGGTGAAAGTATTGACATTTTTAAAATATAAAACTAATAAATCATATAATTATTTTTTAATCATAAATAAACAATAAAAACAACTTTAATAAGGGTGAAATCTTAAATTTATTATTAGCTCCCCTCCCCTCCAATCAAACCAAACTAGAGATCATTAACTCCCCTCCCCAAACCTCCTTGGAAGAAAACACGCCCTTAACCTATTAAAAATCTCCTCATATGAACTGAGGCATGAAAAGGAAATGAGAATTCTTTATGTTAACAACAGCTAAAGTACATGAAAATTGGAAAGAACATTTGAAAGCCTAAAGTTTCAATATTTAAGCAAGGAAACCTTTTCCTTTATGCCTTTCAGCTGCCCTTTTTGTCCCAGCTAAAGTCAGTACCTAGTCTTCAGTCATGACTTTTGAATTGACACTAAAAGGTGCAGGTGAAGGTAAAAAAAAAAAAGGAAAGAAAAGATATACAGCAAATACTCAGATTTTTTAAATGTTCATGACTTCTTGGAGAAGCAAAGTTAACACACACACACACACAAGTTAGAAGCATAATAAACAAGGTCTTTAGATAAGCTAAACTCCATGATACACAAGTTATATTCTGAAAAGTATTAAATGCTTGAAAAAAACATTTCAAAATAACATCATCCAACAGAGAACTGCAGAAATTACACACGCACATTGTGAGTATACTTGAACTTGTACAGAGGCTTTAAACTTGATAATCATGCATGGATAGACCTTTACGTAGTGCATTAAATTACATGGCTACAACTGCCATTATGTGCATTACAATGACTAGTCCCTGGGAAATTTTGGTAGACTAGAGTACACAGAAAGGTGAAGAATAGATGAAATCCAAATAATTTAGAAATCCATCGTTCACCATATCATTATAAGTTCAATGCAAGCTTCAAATAACCGTGCTTGTAATGAAATTGAAAAGTTCATTGTTTGTCTCTTGTTTCTCCAAACGTGCAGGATAAGTTGAATTCAAGAAAGAACTAGTCCGCAACAGACTTGAGGATTAGGGGGCATGCACACAGACACGCTCGAAAATAAACGTGCTATGTACAAGTGACTGGTTCTTTGGGTAGCCTTTTTGATCAAACTGCCCAGTGAACAAAAGAACCCGGGTTCGAAAAGTAGCAAGTGGAATGGGAAGAATATAGACGCTAGTGGTTGGCAGCTACGACTATAAAGTGATGAACTAACACGAGAGAGAAAAGTGAAAGGTTGCTTCAATTTTGTATCCAAGTACCTATCCACCGTTAGAACATATATCAAATGTCAAACATGGATTTCATGAAACAGGAGTGGGACCAAAAACAACAAAAGGAAGAAAAAAGAATCTTAATTGCTTATGCTTTCCCGATTGACACTCAATCATAATGCTACCTTAATGGACACAACCATTTGGGGGGACTTGAAACCAAATTCGATCGCCCTTAAACTCGAAGCACATTCATTAATCTTTGGCTAAAAAAAGCCGGGGGGGGGGCATTCACAAATTCAGAGTCTGTCACCCAGAATTTTCGGCAACCCAACCCTGGATAACTTGTTTTCATCGCTAGGAATATGAGTAAATCTAGGGTTAGTCCTAGTTACAAATCAATCAATTCCAGGTGCGTGAGACACTAGGAATAAAAACGAAAGAAAGAACTTAATAAAAACACAAAACAAAACAAAACCAAATCAAATCAAGTTAGAATGTACCAAAACTGACCTCTTTCGCGGACAATTCCGACGAGTAAGGAAGCACGAAATTGACCGTGAGCTTGGATGGGATCGAAGAGGGAGTAGGAGGGCGAGGGGTCATGAACGCAAGTGGAGTCTTGGGTGGCTCCAAGTTAGGAACGACCTTCTTCCATGCCCCAACGAACTGGGAATCTTCGGCCGTAGCGGCAGGGAGATCCGTCGAGAAACGGCGAGACCTGGCGCCGAGAAGGGGACGACCCAGCAAAGTAGTGGCGCGGCGGAACATGGTGTGAATCGGATCGCTCGGGTCTCGCAGAGTCGGAGAGAGGGGAGGAGAGAGAGAGAGAGAGAGTGATCGGCCGGGGAAGAAGAGAGAAGAAGGTTTTGAGTTTGGACAGTGAAATGTGTTGTTTGGTGCTACCAAGGTAATGGCAGATGGCTCACTCGATTCTCTGGGTCGCTCTGTATAGCCACGAATCAGGGTTTGCCATTATGACCTTATGGCCCAATATCCAAAACACGAAGGTTTTTGGACAAATTATTCTTGAAGGCCCATTTTATTTGAAAATAGTAAAGGCCTTATCTGAAAGCTCCAACCCTCTCTTGGAGAGGACAAACATAACTGAAGCAACACGATGAATTCTGAATCAGAATAATGATGATGCTGCAGAATGGTTATAATAGTCAACTGATGGTTCAGTTTTACAGAATGGGATAAGCTCTTGTGGGAGAGTAGCGACCAAGGTGGATAGAGAATGAATTTCTAGTTTCTGTAGTAAACTTCTTGCTGCCCACTTGTTATTGCAGAAATTTTTGATTTAATTAAAGGGTTGGAAATTTGCTAGGAGAAAGGATTTCATAAAATCAAAATTTAAAGCATGTTTGGATTACATTCTAAATGAGGTTTGGAGGATCCAAACCTCAATGGAGATGTTAAAAGTCCATTTCAAGATTAAAATTCTTGTTTGGATAAAAGAAATCAGTGAACAGGCATTAGGCTTAAATGAGTGTTATTTCATAACCCAAATCCTGAAGCTTTTCAATGCAACGCTGGACTTTTTCTCTCCATTGTCTTCTCACATCACCCAATATGGGTTACTCTTTTTCCTATCTTCACTTCAAATGCACCATTCATTGCCTCCTAATTTTCTCGTCGTTATCGCTGATCATGTTGTGCTTGCTATCATTATCATCTGTGGAGGTTGAGGGTTCTGCCATGTTATTCATCTCTGGTTCTTAGTCACAATTTTACTCAGTCATTCATCTTTGCTCAGTTCATCGTTGATCTCTCCAGTTTCAAATCTCATTCATCCATCGGCATTTTGCTTTTCCTTTCTCCATTCTAATTTTGAGAGTTGACTTGAAATTAGTGTGGATGTGGTGGGGCTATAAACCAATCGAATGGATTTAAGAGACAATTGGCATGAAAGAGGGATTTATAATCATGAAGTTCTGCTTTGGAGAGAGAGAAGTCATGGTTTATTTTTTGCCAGTCCTAAGTTTAGAGGTTTAATAAATTATAAAAAAATAAAATAAAATTAAGAGCATCCAACTCTAGTACCCTATATTTGTAATTTATATTTATGCCAAAAAATATTTGTAATTTATCATTTCATTATACCTTTTTTAAAATTAAAATTTTATATTTATCAATTTATTTTATATTTTTAATCTATTTTTTAAAAATTGTAATTGTAATTTAATATTTTTTTCATAAAATTACCAAATTAGTAAAAAAAATATGTATAAAAAAATTCATGTCTGTTTTTGTCATTATACATTTCAACTAACTTTTAAATTAATCATCCAAATAAATTTTAATTTGTTCAATTGACTTCTGAAAAAAAAAATATCCAAATATAAATTATGTTAAAATTACAAACTTTTTTTCTAACTTCAGTTATGAATTGTTTTAATCTAAACACACTTTTACACGGATTGTGCTGAGGCAATTAACCTTATTATAAGGGAGGTTGCCCAACAACACCCATTTAGGGACATTATCATTTCAACTTTTAAATATATGTATAGAGATTGGAATGTATTCCTTTTGTCCCTATATATAAGATATTTTTAATCAAATCAAGCAAATTAATAAAGGTTGGTTTTCTAATTAAAAGCATAGCAACATTCTAATTTTGCCTCTAATTATTATAAATAAAAAATAAATATCTTTTTTATAAGTAAATTAATGAAAGTACTTATCATTTTCTCTTTCTAATTTAATAAGGGTAAAATGATCCATTCATTAAAAAATATGCTAACAACCTCTTATTAGGGACCAAAATAAGGTTCTAAAAGACTTCTAATATATAGAGATAAAGGGAGCATATATTATTTTAGTCTCTAGGGATATCAATTTTTTTGTTGACCTGGCTAAGAAAGGTCACAATTATAACTTTGTGAAATCTTTGATCATCCTCCAACCAAGTAATATTGGCCTACAAGTATAAAAGAAATTAACTTTAAGCTTATTACTATATTGATCATTATTTAAAAATAAATTAACATTACCTTGAGGTATTTTCAAACCATTACTACAATTAATTGCATCTCACAAAACTCTACCATTAGCCAGTGAGCCTTCCCAACCCGTTAAGCCATATATGAATTGTCTATCCGGAGAGCAAACTCCCAACACATTAATGATTATTTCCCCCTTTTGATTTCTATATCTTGCATTGTCAGCCATAGGCACTTTCACTTTAATATGGGTTCCATCAAGAGCACCTAAACAGTGTTGGAAATGAAAATAATTAATTAAAAGAATAAATAAATTATATTATCAATATAAGTTGTGAATTAAGATATGAGATTATCTTAAACCACTTCCATTTTTCATCTATTGAATCCTCATCAATTGGCTCGAGTTTCTTTAGGAGCTCTTGATTTAATTTCATCATAGAGGTTAAGACCAAATTAAAAAACCTACTAATAGTTTTGTGTAACTCTATTTTTTAGATGATGTGCAAGGATATGTAAGAACATTGCCCCTTGGTCATCAACTAGCATGTTTTTGGTTGGTTTTAAACCTCCTATAACATCAAGCATAAGACATAGCTTGTTGAATGTAGCTCTGTTCATTCTAAACTGGTTATAACAAGTAGTGTCATTGCTATACACCAAGTTTCATAAGTGAATTCTATTAGCATAAAGGTCTAGTATAAATGGCCTTTGACTAATACAATTTCCATGCAAGGCTACAGTGGTACAAATAGCCAAAACATATTGATACATAAAGTGAAGAATACGCATCCACCAAATCATCAAATAAACTATTACATCTCTCATTTCTATATCCATAACTATAGGTTACAATTTTAAATATTAGGTTAAAAAATTCTAAAACATCCAAAAAATATCATAGGGTAAGATCTACTTTAATGTATAAAATTCTATTAGCAAAAAAAAAAATGAATAACATTCTAACATAGAACCCATATTTAATAAAACTCTAGCAAACCATCTTAGATTAGAAGATCATGGAACTCTAGCAAATCATCTTAAATTAAACACACATTGTGTCATAATGATTTTGAAATTGGATTAATTTTCAAGGTAGCAAACTAAAATGGATAAGAAGTGTTGTGGTTAGACTTCAATTTAATTTTAAAAAATTGGGACTAGATTTGAGTATGAGACACAAAACTTAAAATCTCATTTAGCATGCTTGCTACACTCATTGAGCTGAGCAACTTAAAGGCAACTAATTGATAGAATTTCATTAGTAGATAATTGTCATTCTCTCTGAACTCTAAACCCATACCATCAATTTTATGCAAACTTAAACTACTATAATTGTATGGAATTTCTTGATCTTTAATGTAAAAACTAAAGCAATGTCATTTTTTTATTTTCCCTCATACTTTTTTTTGCCTATGCTTGTTATCAAGTATATTTTTTTAGACTTCCTGGTGGTGGTGCAATATTTGTTGAGGCATTAACATCAATTTATAAAAGCAGAGGATACCAAATGCAAGAGACTACAAAGCATATTGACTATCACATAATATAACTTCACACCATAGGGACTATGACTGAGCTCAAACCTTCTTACACCAACAACAACAAGAAGAAGCACCTTAACAAAGAAGAAGTAGCCACATCTAAAGATAGGGGAGACGGGAGAGGGATATAAAATCCAAGATGAAATGGAGGAGGGTAGTCAATTGCCATACCTTGATCGCAAAATCCAAAATATCTATCCAAACTGCATCGTTCTTCATCCTTCTTGTCGTTAATCTTGCCACCACTCTCATGTCCTTGCTCGTTGTGCCGTGCCCAGTAGTTGATTTTGAGTATGGTTAGGGTTATATGTCTTTAGAGAAATTTTGTCTTTCTGAATTTACACACGGGTAAAAGTGTTTTAAAAGTTACAATTTTATGGAATTGCTCCTAATTCTAAGGCTTTGAACAAAGAATCTAATTTAGCCTATTTTCATGGAATCAAGATTCATAGGAATTATAATTCATATCTATCAAATATCACTTTATTCATATTCTTATCTCAATTTCATTTCCATCTCTAGAATTCCAACCTATCAAACATGACCTTATGATTTAATTAAAGGGTTGGCTATTTGCAGGGAGAAGGGATTTCAAAAAATCAAAATTTACATTGATTGTGCGAAGGCAACTAACCTTATTACAATGGAGGTTGCCTAACAACACCCATTTAGGGACATTATTATTTCAACTCTTGAATACATGCATAGAGATTGGAATGTATCTATTATTTTAGTCTCTAAGGATATCAATTTTTTTGCTGACCTCCTTACTAAGAAAAGTCATAATCATAGCTCTGTTTGTAAAATCTTAGATCATCCTCCAACTTTTATTACTCCTTGAGATGGAGAATGATGATAGGTGACTTTTTCTTTGTTTTGTAAGCTCGTTATCTTTTAGTTTTTGTTTTTTTAATAGATATTCAATTTTTCATTTTAAAAAAACAAAGAAAGCTCCATCCCCAACACATGAAAGCATGAAAATGTGGTGTTTTTACCTTTTTGAATTATATTTATAAGTCACTTTCAGCATATTTTTAAAAATAAAAAAAAGTTAATGCAGTGTTTGATAGGTAGAAAAGTGATTTCTAAAGAGAAAATGAGAAATATACTTATATCATTTTCTTTTTAGATATATTTATCATTTCCATTCTAAAAAAACATTTTTCTATGTACTGAATATGCTAAAACTCATTAAATTTCTCTAAAAAAATAAAAATTTTAAAAAATGTGTGCATGCATATTTCAATAGCATACATTTTCTCACTAACATTTAATAGGAATAAAAGGAGAAACTTATAATAGAAAATCAATGATATAACTTTTAAATGCAGTAGCCTTTTTCTTGGCTAATAAGAGATCTCATATTTTTATAATTGCACACATTGGAAAGCATGGGTTCATAATCTAATTAATCTTTAATCG